CGAATAAATGCTTCAATGTTGTCCTCCAATGCGTCAATTGAAGCGGGATTGTCTGTGTAGACATTCGATTTAACATAGTCCCACAAAAAAAGGGTCTAAAGGCGCTAAATTGGACGATCTAGGCGACCAATCGACCGGTCCCGTGCGTGAAATAAAATTTTCCTCGAACTGGCCTCTCAATAAGTCCTCTTTTACGCATGCTATGTGGCATGTGGCACCGTTTTGTTGAAACCACATGCCATGGAAGTCCAGCTCTTGCATTGTGGGCAAAAAAAAAGTTTGTTATCATCCCACGGTAGCGCTCACCATTCACAGTTACGTTACGATTCGCATTATCTTTGAAGAAGTGCTCTCCAATGATGCCACCAGCGCATAAACCGCTCCAAACTGTGACTATTTCTGGTTGTATTGGTAGCTCTTGCAATGCTTCTGGCTGATCCTCACCCCAAAATCGGAAATTCTACTTATTTCCGCAATTATTAAGCCAAAAATGATTAACTTTCTTAAGAGAGTACGCATTTCGATAATAAAATTCAATAATTTGCAAGCGTGGTTTGTTTCTAAGATGATTCATGGTTAACTTATAGACCAAACTGAAGATATTTGACAGTGATACAAAACACGAAATGTGCGTCAGCTGTTTAAACCAGTGTTGTCAAAACGATAATATTGTAGCTAAAAAATCACCTCACAACATAATATCAACACCATCTAGGGACAAAACCCCCCGGAGACATTTTATATGACAAATCTATCACTTCTTTCGTTCCATAGAAGACTTACATCCCTAAAGGGTTCGATCGGGCATTAGCGGAAATCTCTTCATAAAAGATTCAAAGACAGAAACATGAAGTAGGATCACAATTGCAATAACCCATCATCTCTTGGTAGTGCGCTTATTAGCCCAACACGCATTCAAATGCGCGTTCCTCGTAACCCACCGATATCATCGAAATTATGCTGTTGCACCCACCAGCCACTTCCCATAATCACCGCCCACACCATTCTGCTGTGTCAAATGCAAAACTTTTCAAGTACTGTTTTTTCCGTTGAAAACTTTTGTCGATTTCTTCATTCGATTTGAAACAATATACGTGCATACATACATGCATACATTTATGCATTCATACATACATGTGTGTGTACAAATATACTCTACTGCCTTGACTTGAACGTGTGTTTTGTGTGTTTGTGTATTTGTTTGGCTTGCACATTTCCACTTCCGCCATAAAAACTCATTTCTTCGACTCGCGACATTTTTCTGTCGCTGCCAACGCCAATAACAACGTTTGCCACTCGCTGCTGTTATCCCAGCGCAATTCGCCTTGTAATGGGCTAAGTTTTGCCATTGACGCGGCCATTAAGCTGCAATGAAACTAATGTTGCCGAATTCACCAATGCAACTCGTTCACGTAAAAACACCTACGCTCGCTCAGTGCTGCATGAGCTGGCGGGTGTGTGCGTGTGTGTGTGTTGCACTTTGTGGCACTCAATGAGTTACGACGTGTGGATATTTATAATCGCAATCTCGGCGCTCACACGTAGTTGAGATTTTTTTTTCTATTTTTTTTATTTTTTGTTGTTTTGTTTTTCTGCTTCATCTGCTCCTCGTTTCGACTTTGTGGCAAAGTGCGAAGTAATTTTATTGCTAACTTTTTGTTGAGAAGCAGGAACTTGCGGTTGGAAAATGGCTAATAAACGTAACCGTGTGGTTAAGGGGAATAACTGACTTTGGATTACTAATGGATATTTTTGGTGATTATAATCGTTTTTTTATTATTATTGTTATTACTGTTATATGTACCTAGAAATGAGATATCTTTGCATGCCACCTGATTCCAGGAAGTTTATTTGTTACTTTCCAATAGAACTTTGCTTGGAAAGTCTTTCTATTATTTACACTCTTCGAAGAGCAGAATGTCTACCAGCGCCGTACTCAATTTAGATGGTTGTCTAAGCCTGCCAAAAACCCTTTGACCGCTTGGCCAGCACTACTAATCACTTGGTTACAGCGGCAACTACAGTACCTGCATGGAGGAATCAGGCAAACAACTGGGAGTTCTACTCATCTCTTCTAACAAAGAGCTCACCAAGAAAGCGTTCAGAACACTGTGAACAGGATCTAGCTTTCATATGACCGACATTAACTGCAAGTTAAGTCAAAGTATTGTAAACGATTCACATAGGCTTACTGGGCTTTTTGCTTGAAAAGTAAGTTTGAGAATGTCAATGCAATCGGCCACACTTAAGCCACTGAGTAAACTGCTTTGCTATCTGCAGTTCGTTTGATCAAGGAAACTGTTCTATTGTCTTCCGCACATTTCTTCCAGTTTTCCGGTATAGATATCAATAATCCATCAAGAAGGCTTAGATCCCTAAGCAAGTCAGTGTTTGGTATATCTACGTTGCTGTACAGTAATTTAGACTACGCTGGAAGTGCAGGTCCAGTCCCTCAAGAGTGCACTGCATTATGCAGCTTTTAGAGGTCTAAGGCAGTTCATGGTTACAACCTCACCAGCGGCGTCAGCAGAAACCAACTCGTCTGCCATTTCGAAGCATTGCATTTCTGTGAGGCCGGGACCCAAGTGATGTTCACAGTATTACTCGCGATAGTCTCTTAATTGCTTAAAATTGTCTGTGATGCCACATTAAGTTCTTGTTGTAGCGGTTCTTCGACCCCGCTTAAGAGCAGGCGAGGCTAAGTCATCGAGGTGGAGGTCGAGGGAAAAGGAGTTTAGATGAGTTAGTTTTAAGGGTTATGTAAAGAGGTGGATTTCTTATGCGGGGTCTCATTGCGAGTCGGTATATGTGGGAATTAAGTCGACACAATATCTAAATATTAATTGTGCCATTCTTACTCGGTTGCTTCGAGGCAGCTCGAGCTCGTCGTCTTCAACAGTTGGTACTCGGATTGCAAGATCGTCGTTCACTTGAAGAGAGTTCAAGTACGTGTTGACCGGCTCTCGGTGAATGGCGTTAAAAAGCCTGTCAGTACGCAGTCTTACTTAGCAGCTCTTGTATATGCTGCTGAGTGGATTATTTGTAGTCGAGTACAACATTCCTGATGTACCAAGCTGGTGGCTCAGCCTCCTGCTTTGAAAATTTTTTGCGGTTCTGTATAGTGCCGGTTGTCGAATGTGACTCCGACTAACTTTGGGTGCGAGTTCGAACCGGTACACACCGGATATGACTTTATCCTCCTATATCAAGCAAACCGGTACGTAACACCGTTGTAGAAGTTCAATAAGGCACGTTTTCTTCAATGTTCACACCAGCACTTTGCGAAAACCCACACACATTTCCAGTCGTAGGCCACTACAGAGAGCTCTTGGCTAACAATCCAATCAGTATTCAGCCGTTTTACATTGTACTCCCCATAATCTTGGGAGAGAAAATCATTGGTGATAACAAAGCAAGAAGGAGGCAACAATTCCACAACTTAAAAGGAAATGGATTCAATGGAAAAGACTTTTTGTATTACTTGGTAGGTATTACAGATCCTCGAACTGGGAAAGTCTCGAACTGTAGTCGAGTACTGAAAACTTAGTATCGTTTTGAGAGTGCTTGGATCGAAAAACCTTCGGCGGAGCTGTCATTTCTACCAGCCCAGCCACGGTATTTAGAATCGTTTGTCCTGGAAGTCAGAAATTACGCCGCCCTGCTCTTGAGTCTCAAGACATCAATTCTGCCAAAACAAAGACTTTGAAGATCGTAATAGAATTTCGCTTGTGGGCGAGTGACATAGTGAGACTACTATGCTTTTATTCAAAGTGAACGAAGTCACTACAGAGCGCAGGGAACGTGACCTTATTCTATAGTGTCTAAGGACACACAAATAAAGGGACGGTATCAGAGTAACCAGCTCCTGGCGTTAAACATCTTTAATATATTTATGCTCCGCGATTAGCTTGCTCTTTCTGAAACATTACAGTTTGTCTTATAACATTTCTCAGCCAAAAATTGATATTTTCCCGGAATGCCAAATTGAAAATTATGTGTCACCCTTTCGAACACAGGGCGCTACATGGAAATTTATCGACATGTAATATGAACAAACTCTTTATTCAAGTCATGAACCTTTTATTTCGCACCTGGAACACAGTATGAACACTTTTCGCAATTAACAAATTAAATGCTTAACACGTAAATACGGAAAAATTTAATTAAAAAATTATGAATTTTTATCAAAGTTTTTGTTCCAAATTTTGTTTTAATATTTAATTTTTTGGAATTTTTCCATTGGTTCTGGACGGCTACACATATAGAGGATGTAATTCCGCTCTTTAGGTAAACGGTGGGTCACACTGCACCTCAAACTGTTTCTTTTTATTTATTTTTGCTTGCCCGCCACGTGTGCTGCGTGATAAACACAACACTCTTTTGAACTTAAGCACACCCTGTTCGATGGAATACGGTAATAGATTTTCCACCCCAAACTAATCAAAACAAAAATTATTTGTGCCACTTATTACTACCATGCGGCTGGCAACACTCGCATCTTAATTAGAACTTTGTAAATTAGAGAAGAATAACATTAACATTCCTGACTTAAAAGTGCGTATTTGGCAGTGCGTAACGCGTTAAATAACGGCAGTGCTAACAACTCATTATTTTGGTAACAATAATTAAGTTAATTTAATTTCAATTAAATGATATCATCATTACAATTGTGGTTAATGAAAACAAAGTGTTGATACTCTCAGCGTTGGTCGAATGGCATGCAGAGAGCGCGCTCGATACTCAGTGAATTTTTTCTACTGTGTGCTCCAGTTTATATGCTGTGTATAGTGTTGTTATTGCTGTTGTTGCAGCTGCTGTTGCTGTATTGTTGTAGTGGCAGTCAGCTATAATTTTTCGTTGTGGTGTTGTTGTTGTTGTTATGGCTGTTGGTGCTTCTTCTTCTTCTTCATCATCGTATGGTGTTGGGTTTGGGGGGGGGATTATATTGTTGGTGCATTTGGTTGGGGATTCGTCAGCAAAAGAAATATTATTCAGTCTCTTCTTCACTGCGTACAGTGCATTTTCGTGAAAATTTTGCTGCTGCGTATTAAGAAAACATTTTTAATTGAGTTTTAATTTTTGTGTTTTTGTTTTCAGTTGAATAAATATCTACCACATACATATATTTATATATATATATATATAGATATATACATAAAACCATCTACTTATATAAATACAATTAAAAGTTCAAATACTGAAAGTGTGGAAAGGAAAGGAATTTGAAAGGAGACAGAAAAAACACAGAAAAACAGGATATCAAGACAACAATTTTGAGAAAATTTAAGGATATTTTGCAATATGCTACTCAACCGAAACAAGTAATGAGAAAAATACCCCATAAATTAATATACATATACATATATTTACAATATATATGTACATACATATGTGTTCCCATTAAAAGTTATATTTATAATTTTTATTTGTTGTTTTTGTGTCCCAATGAAATTAGTACATAAGTTTGAATAATTTGGTGTGCTTTCTGTTTTTTTTTTCTTTTTTTATTACTAAAAATGTGTTAATAAATCCATGTAAGTGCGTTCGGATGTGAGTGTGTGTGTGTGTGTGTGTGTGTGTGTTGGACGATAGCGCCAGCTCAACTTCCCAATCGTCGCACAACCATATCGCACGATTTCTGATTTCTCTATATAAAAATGTGTATGTATATATATGTATGTATGTATGTATGTATGTACATACGTGTATGTCAGTCCATATGTTGTGGTGGACAGATTGTCGGCCGGTTGACTGGCAAGAATTTATACTGTAAATAAAGTTGCGCTAAGTACCTACCCATAAAGATGGATACATATGTACATATATAGAAAATATATTTCCGAATGTACATGCAAACATACATTCATTTAGTCATATTCTTGTAATTATATGCAGAAAATACCTACATACGTAGATTCCTACCTGAAATTGCTTTTGATTTTTAATTTTTCATTTATTTTTACGAGTTCGTTTTAAAGCAAAACTTGGTTTTTAGCTCTCCACTGTTCGCTTATTTGTTTGTTTTTGTTTTTAGCGTTCGCTTAACTTTTCTCTACTTTATATCATTTGCACCTTTGCTATATGTATGTAGCTTTACAGTTAAGAAGCAACATTGCGTTGAGCTTACCCAACTTCTTGTTATGTACTTGTGTACATATGTATGTGTGTATGTATCTACTTGAGTATGTAGAGATTTTATGACAATTTGTGCATATAAAAAATTGATATATGTATGTATGTATGTGCATAAGTTGTACTTGTTTGCTTAGTTTTTTTTTTTTTGCAAAATTATTATTGTTCTTTTGTGTGTGTGTGTTTGTGCTCATATGATGCTACTCTGCAGCTGTTCATCGACTTGTGAAGTTTATTGTTAACAAAATAACAGAAAGAAATGCTGCACAGAAAATATATATTTTTTTTTTGGAAATTTAAATTTAAACAAATGGAATGAGTTTTTATTTTATTTTTTTTTTAATTTTTTTTTACTTTTGATGTTACATACGTGTATACCCACAACTTGACTGCAAAAATCAATAGACTGCGAAGGTTTTTGGTTATTTTATCCTTTGGTGAAAAAATACTAGTTGTTAACTAGAATCCGACTAGTTTAGATGTGAACACCAACTAGCCCAACTTCCATCCGTTTTCCATATAAGCAACTGATTTTTTCAACACGGCGATGCTCTACGAGCTGTTAATTGTCATCCGATGCATCAGCTTTATACTAGTTGTATACCAGTTCATGTGTACCAGTAGAAATACGGGTTGTTTCATACTAGTTTGAGTACTAGTTCACCAAAGGTATCAGAAACGGTTCAACCGATTTTAATAAGATTTTTTGTGTGTTTTAAAGCAGATTTGAGAATGCTGTCGAAAAACTCACTTCACGGGAAGTTAAGAAAACGTACCTACGGTTCTCTTTACTTGAAATTTGGTATACTATCTCTTTCCAGTAAAGGTATCAGATATTGATCTATGTATTTGAAGTTTTTTAGGACTGCTCATCTGTTTTTACAATTGAACAATGCTTAAGAAACCACAATTATATATGATTGTGGCCGGAGCTTCTAGTCACTTTTTTTTTTTTTTTTTTTTGCAAAACAAAAAACTGGTATTAATTTGCAAGCAAAATACTAATTCATACACTAGTTTTTTTTTGTAAATTAGTCCAGATTTTATCAAAAACTACTAATATGATTTTAGTCTATGGCAAACTAGTATATTTTTGTCCTGTAAATACTAGTATAATTCCGGTTTACAACAAACTAGTTTGAGTAGTTTGTCCTCAAAGAACTAGAATTTTTTCCCTGCTGGGTAGGTATGCATTTCAGTAAGCATCAGGCTGCCTTAAGTGTAAGAAGTGAGTTCCAAAATTCTTTTAAATTATGTTCCGTGTGCATTCAAACTGAGCACTCAGATTTGTGTCTAATTAGACTAAACGGGTAATGATTGGTTGGAAATTTTACTCGGTGTTTTCCCCTCGTCGCATTCGAAGTACGCAGTAGTTGATGTGTCGGTCACAGCTTACGCGATAGGGGCCAGCGATTGTATTTATCTTCTACGATGTTGCTTTCTGATCGTGGAAGTTCAATCCTACGGGAGAAACTGTTCCTCTGGTCGAAGCTCTGTATGTCTGTGCTAACTAATTTCACCAAGAAGGAGTATTTGTCAACGTTCAGCCGCCCGCTGTAGCCGACTGGCATCCAAAATTATTCGCTAACTGCTCCGCATTAAATTGGAACACCTCTGAGTGTATGTCTGATCAGACATGAAATAAAAAAATTCCTCGAAAATTTTTTTCAGCTGTTCGGGCACGGTTAAGAACCATTTGTTCGAAGAGGGGATACTGCTACTAATGCCTAGAGTATATTGAATTTAAGGAGAAAGCTCCTCTCCAGCCTGCTAAGTGACACTGGAAATGACACACCAGGATATGGCGAACCTGAGTCACCAAGCAATGCAATCACGAAAGCGAGCGTCGATGGATTGCTGGTCAAGCTATTAAAATGAAGCAAAGGATGATTATGGCCATACGAATGCATGCCCGACGATCCGGATCTAAGTACTGGCATAATTAAGGTGTGGATCGACTTATGCAACGTAACACCGAAGCAGTCGAAATAGCTCGCTTTCTGGATCTCCCAATAGGAGACTTCGATGACTTATACTAGTATCAACTGCTCATAAGCGATGTTGGATAACCGCTGTCTAAAGTTCGTTAAAACCTACATGAATTCTCTTGCAGTGAATGGGATTCTGTGAATCTAAACGTCACCTAATGCAGACGGATAGCTCCAGAGAACCGAGTAAAAATACTATAACAATTATGAGCTGGATATTGTTGTGAACTTAGTGGAATCCGACATACGCAACATATTTCCTGTATGCAATGAGACTTCGCCGGGCACTATCCACCTCTTTGAACGACCCTTAAAACCTACTTTTCAAACTCCCCTTAAACTCTGGCCCGAACCCTTCGTAACAGTCCATTTCACGACCTCAATGACATGACTGACTTTGTCAGCTTCAACAACAATAACGGTGACGACTGGATCACTTGTTTTACGAGGTACTAGTGGCTCGTAGCAGGCCATCGACGTCAGACTGACATGACATGAAATCTCCTGATGATATCTGATTACCATTTGCACCGATAGATACTTATGCTCCCAGTTAAGGACCGTAGTCACATTTACTTAAGTAGGATCTAAGATCTGCTAGGGTACTACAGACGGAATCATATAGTCTGTCAATCCATTCACCAGCTCTGCTTGTAACTGACTTAATCGTAGTCCCAAATCCATCTAACGCGGAGGAAAATGTCACAACGAAGATCTGGATATTATAACCAGTCTAACCGTATTAGAGTCAAAGAGAGTGCGTTGGGTATGGCACGCAAACATCTTTTGCATTGAGTACCATAAGTAAGGCACTGAGCAAGCCTCCTTCTATAGGAATGAAAGTCTAGTTTCGAGCTATCTCCAACCACGTGGAAACTACGAAGGAGGATGCCACAATCAGACCTATCGGAGCATATGAAGCCAATTCCTGCTAAATGTGCAGCTTTCTTCGTTTCTACATTGTGAGCACTTTCAACCTTTCTTCCAGTAATTCAGAGGGAATATCACAAAACTGGAAATACACCTAATGTCAGCTTCTACTAACTCGCGTTCCGAGAGTTTTCAGTTCCAAAACCCAAAACAGTTCCAAATGAAATCTATAATGTGATGGCAGAAAACGAAACTTCTTGCTCTTCAATCTTAGATTGCTAATGGAACACTCTTTAGAATGTGATTTTGGCATTCTTCTTTCTACAATTCAATCTTATTACATTCTAGCTCCACACTTTTATCTTTTTCGCGCATACTTATACATACAAACATACATATGAGTGCAAGCGCTCTCCCACACACAAAGTATTTATCAATACGAACAAGTGCATTAGCGGGTATGTACTCTTATACTCTCAACTCTCTGTTTACTTGTTGCCTCTTATCGATTACTGACGGGTTTCTTTTTTTTTTTTTTTTCTGTTTTTTTGTGACTTTTGACTTGATTTTGCCGGCACACGGCCACAGTTGCTAAATAGTTTAGTTTCGATTTTCAGTGTATTTGTTAATTGAAAGCGCTCGCTACAATTTGTTGGGTTCTCCTCGGCTCGGCACGCACTATGTACAAGTATATATTAGATTTCTTCAAGCATGTTTGTATGTGCATATGTGTGATTTCACCGATTCTTGACTTCAGTTTAGCTATGGTATTTTCGTCAGTTGATCGCTGGATTCCAAGCGAGCGACGAGATTGTTTTGTATACTATTCTGCTACAGCAAGTAAATAGTTATCAATCAGTTGGCTTTGGGGCTATCACGCGTAGATACAGATTTCCTCGTGTACGTTCCACGTATCTTCAAGTTTCTTTGTTTTATTTCATTTTTTTTTGTGTCGTTACGAGAAATACAGACAATAAAAATAAATTTTTTAAACGAAAAAAAAAGTGTTAAAATTCAAAAATCAAAAAAAAAAAATATAAAATAAAATTAATATAGAATAAATAAAAAAATTTAAATAAAAAAAAATACCTTTAGTGTGAATAAAAAAGTTTTTTGTTTGTTTGTGTTTTCTTTAGCAAAAGTAGCCAACACAAATTGTGAAGTGCACATTTTAGAGGTGATTATGAGCTTTTATAATATAAATATGTAATGTGCGTCTATCTCCTACGTTGTGTGATTTGGCTACAAAAATCATGTGATGTAAGGCCCTTCGATTGAAGAAATCAACTAATTGAGGTTAATTTCGTACAGATAAATGCCCAATGTAACTT